ATTACTGAGTAAGCTCTCTAGAATAAGGAATTTAACATTCTCTGCGTTGTTTGGATCACATTTGTAGCAGTTTGTTCAATTCTTAACATATTTAAGAAATATATTAACAAACTGGATGTATCCAGTAGAAGGGTATTAAGGAGGGTAGGGATGATGCCAGACATCACCTCACACAGGAAATGCTCAAGGAACTGGATATGCCTCGGAGAAGTAAAAACCAAGTGAAAATGTCCTAGACTTCAAATATTTGAAAGCTTTTTATATGGAAATTCCTCCCTTTATATTGCTTTCTTAAATAATAGTTTCATTCAAATGTCTGTATTGGTTTAAAATTTACTCATTAATCCTTCCTATAACTTAAACATAAACATCAGAAAATATTTTCCAAGTAAAAGCTTATAATCAGGCAGGTAGTTTTCATGAGGCAAGTTAAATGGCAGGTCTATTATAAAAGAATCTCAATAGCTAGATTTTAATACAGTGATCAAATTATGCCACATTCACAGTTATGCGCATGGTATTTTTCTCACTGTAAGACGTAACATTTTTGGGGGCTGGCCCGGTGGCGCACTGCCACTTGGGAGTGCGGCAACGCTCCCGCCGAGGGTTCGGATCCCACATACAGACCGGCCGCTCACTGGCTGAGCGAGGTGTGGGCGCAATACCGAGGGTTGCGATCCCGTTGCCGGTCCTGGTCCGGTACGGGTGCGACACTGAGGGTTGCGATCCGTTGCTGGTCACGAAAAAAGACAAAAAGGAGAAAAAAAAAACCGTAACATTTTTACCTTAAATCCAAAGTTATAAAATGGTCTTTTTCTCACCCAGAAAAAGTTATATTGGTGGACAGATTCACCACTTTTAAGAGTAAAGTAAGAATGTTTCTTCTATTCTAGTTTATCCTATGGAATTAAACTTTCCCAAAAAGTTGGGAGGTAAGGTGGGCATGGCATGGAGAGTGCTGCTAGGCTGTTTGCAGGGAGGTTGTCAGAAGTGTTAAGCAGTCTAATGTATAAAATGTTTCTGCCCCATCAAGTTGTACTCAACTTTCATTTACTTCTTTCTAGTTGTTTATATTTAACCAATTTTAAAAAGATGTTAACATATTTTATTGGTTTTATATTGCTGTTGTAACAAATTGCCATAAATTTAGTGGCTTGAAGCAAAACAAATTTAGTATCTTGCAGTTCTGGAGGTCAGAAGACTGTAATAGGTTTCACTGGGCTAAATATGCTGCCTTCTTTTTGGAGTCTCTGAGGATAATCCATTCCCTTTTCCAACTTCTAGAGACTGCCTGTATCCTTTGGCATGGTTCCTTCCTCTGTCTTCAAAGCCAGCAATGACTGGTAAAGCGTTTTCATGCTGCATCACTCTGATAATGACTCTCTTGCTTCCCTCTTTCATGTATAAGGATTCTTGTGATTACATTGGATCCACCCTGATAATCCAGGACAATCTCCCCATCTCAAAATCCTTAATTTATCTGCAAAGTCCCTTTTGCCATGTAAGGCAACATGTTCACAGGTTCTGGGGATTAAAACACAGACATCTTTGGGGGCCATTATTCTGCCCACCGATTTATATCTGAACTAAACTCTCCTATGTAGTATGCCCAGTAACAGGACTTGTTTATAGCTCTAGAAGGTAGAACTAGATTTGGTTGGAGGGTTAGAAATTACAAATAGATTTTTTATTTTTTTTCCAATGAGAGAATTTTCCAATAATGGAAGAAATGCATTCGTGTATGTATATGTCCGTGTCTGTCTGTCTGTGTGTTAATTTAGGTGTTGAGACATAAGTTGACCACTCAAGGAGATTCCTGCATTGGGTGGGAGAATTGACTATATAGCCTCTAAAATCCCTTTTTTAACTGTTCAGTTTTTGTGGTTTTATGCTAAATTTCTCAGAGTATATTAGTCAGGTTCTCCAAAGGAATAGAGCCAATAGGCTAATAGGATATGAGAGAGAGAGAGAGAATATCAATCAATCAATCAATCATCGATTTATAGGAATTGGCTCATGTGATTGTGGGAGTTGACATGTCCAAAATATGTAGAGTAGGCCAGCAGGGATTTGGGGAATAGCTGATGAGTTCAAGATCTGCAGGCTGGAAATTCAGGCAGGGTTTCTATGTGGCAGTCTTGAGGCAGAATTGCTGCTGGTTTGGGAAATCTCAGTGCTTTGCTCTAAGGGCCTTCAACTGATTAGATGAAACCCACTCACAGTATAGAGAATAATCTGTGTTCTCAATGCCTATTGCTTTAAATGTTAATCTCATCTAAACTAAGTTTTCATAGCAACATCTACACTGGTGTTTGACTAACAACAGGGCACCGTAGCCTAGCCAAGTTGACACATAAAATTTACCATCATACAGAGTTAGAGGTGGAGCCCCTGACCTTCCAGCTTTTTGGCCATATAAAAACTGTTCCTCTGTACCACCATGCCTCTTTCTTTCATTTCTACTTGTACTCTTTATTTCTTGCTGTTTTGCTGCCTCTTTTTTCTTGAGTATGAAGTGCCAGATAATATGGTAATTTTCCACTTTGATGTTCCTTTTCAGATTTGGTTGCAGATAGTTTTGAATTTGCTGTGGCTCCTTACTCTGAATTCACAAAATATATTTACTATTTTATTCAGCAGCTAAATTCTTCAACTAGCTTGCCTCTTTTATGCAATTTTAAAAACACTTTAAAATATTTTTGGTATTTGTTCTTCCTTTAAAATTATTGTTATCTGATGGTACCAGAACCTTAAAATAGGTAAATTCAGAAAGTATAGGCATTACAGAGAAATGTCAGAATTCATTTTACCTTTTTGGGGATTGTCTCCTAATCTGTTCAGTTCCTTTCCAAGTTGTTCTCTCTTCTGCAGGATGCAGTCTACTATCATGGTAAGGGAGGCCTAAAAAATTGCTTTTGATCATATATTTTTATGCTAATTCAATTTTAAAACATTGCTTTTGATCATATATTTCTATGCTAATTCAATTTTAAAACTTAATTAATATTTGAAATGATAATGATTATTGACATTAATTCACAAGTTTCTCCTATTGTTGAGTCTTATTTTAAATTAGCATACAACAAGTTTGTTCTTTTCTCTTCAAGCTGTTTAAAGTAAGTTTTGGGAGATAAACAAGAACCCTCTTTAAAAAATTAATTAATTATTTTAAATTGACAAAAACTTTATTGTGTACAACATAATGTCTTAACATATGTATACATTGTGGAATGGCTAATTAAGCTAATTAACATATGCATTACCTCACATACTTGTCATTTTTTTGTGGGGAAAACACTTAAAATCTACTCTCAGCAATTTTCAAGAATGTGATACAAGAACCCATTTTTAAAAATTAACAAATTAATGATTGTAAACTAACATTTACAAATAGATGAAATAGTATAGTTCATTAATGGACTAAGAGCTTAGACACCTGAATTATAATTTTACTCATGCTCTTTCTTAGCATAATTCTCCTTTTCTGATCTGTGAACTACAAGACTAGAATAGAGGATCTGAAGCCAACTCTGGCTGTGATGTTTATGAATGTGACTCCATGAGGGAGCTGGGTGGGAGAATTAACAAGGGAATATTTCTTACAGTAGATGAAGATAATCTGATGGCTGGAGATGTAGGAGGAAGGAATTTTGGGGAAGGAAAGTACATGAACAAAAGATGTTCAAGTTTTATTATAGTTTAGGTCATTTTATATTCACTGTGCATTTTTGTACATATTTAAGTCTCTTGGGTGAATCAGGCAAGACTGCTTTTATTATTAGCGTTTTGTAGGCAAGGGTGCTGAGGTCTGATGAGGTCATTCTCTTTCCACAAATGGCACAAGTTTTAGACTAGAACCCATGGAATTATGGAATATTAGATTCTGAAACCCATTTGGTTCAACTACCATCTTTCTTCTTGTCCTATGTTCCTACTACTATATCACCTTCTGTTTTTTGAACATTTTTTTCCATTTTTCATAATTGAACACATATTATCAAATAATTAGTTGATATTTTGCCTTTTCATCACTCCTTAGTTTAAATAAGGCTATGGAATCAGAAATATAGATTAATTGCGGCTGACCAGTTTGCTCATTTGGTTAGAGCACAATGTTCTAACACAAAGGTCAAGGGTTCAGATCCACATACTGCAAAAAAAAAAAAAAAAAGAAAGAAAGCAACATAGATTAATTGAGTAATTCAGATTCTATGACTTTTTAAAACTATAGATATTAGCATATTTAGACCAACTGAGAAAGATTTTATTTTGTTATGTAAAACTAGACTTTAAGCATGTTTTAATCGATTAGATTTTTAAAATATGGAGAACTCCATGTTAATACAGAAATTTAAAAATCTATTATTTTCATCATGGAAATACATTTCAGAAGGTATACATCTGCCTCAGAGTAAAACCTGTGAAATTTAAGAACCTATTCTCAAAATTAAGTGGTGAATGTGGCATAAGAGAAAGAGGTGTTTTCACCTCTCTGTATATGACATTTTAAAATTTCAGTAAACATATTTTGTAATGGATTTTTCAAAATAAAATTCTCCTTTAAAATAAATGAAATTATTCTTTCTTTCTGTCAACTCTAACTTCCCACTATTCACTTTTATATGATTAGTTGGGGGGGGTTGGGGCAGGTGAGCAGCTTCCCACCTCAAGAAATAAGTATAAGTTTGAAGTTTCCCACCATACAGTGGAGAAGTCGGTAGGATAGGGACTGCAGCTCTGAAACCAGGCCAGTGTTCTGGGTTCACAGACTTATTTTTAATAGTTATCACTTTTTGAAAGAGAAGGTGTTTCTAAAATAGTATTTTTAGTCAATGGAAGATTAGGGTTCTTTATAATGCTTTAGTTTATGCTGAACTTTTCAGGAACACATCTATTGCTAATCACATGTCAGTACTAGATTTTATGTAAATTTGTTAACTTGTCCTTTTGGAAGACTGTTTATTTCCTCACTTGTGATTATAATGTACATTCCTTTCCAGAGCATGAAGGGAAAAAGCAAAAGTAGTCATGACTTGCTTAAGGATGATCCACATCTCAGTTCTGTTCCGGTTGTTGAAAGGTTAGTCTGGTGCTGGTATGATCCTAAGTTCTTATTTTTTGGCTCAAAAATAAGAACTTGGTTCTTGCTTCTTTTGTGAGTAAACAGTCTGTTTTCATAAGTCAAAGTTTTTAAACCCCTCCCCAGAATAAAGCTTTTTGAAATGGAGATTGAGCACTTCTAGCATGATAGAGAGAAGCACTCAAATCACTTTCACTGTTTTTGCTATCTACCTCTGTTGAACTAATAAAATTTAAAATTAATCGTCAAACTTTTAAGTACTAGGGTAGTTTGAGTACTAGAAACTGTTTGCTTTAATAATTTAACGTTTAATTCGGAGTTGCATTGTTAACCTTTTCCTTGAAGCATTTCTTATCTCAGATGGTATCATGGGTAAGCAAATCAGAGTTGAAGGTTTTTGTGAAGAAGTCACCACAATTTGGGCCAATCCGCTGAGTGTAAATGCTCACATACTTTCAGGAGCTAACAGAAAATTGTCTTACTATGTTTGTTGCTTCTCTTTGAAAACATGTGTTAGTGTTAAATATAATTGCACATGATATGTTTGGCCAAGGTCTCAAAGGGGGACTAAAATACTAATGTACTGAGTTTATTAGCTCATTTTCAAAAATCTTATTTCAATGTAATCTTTTCTCTGAAGGATTTGGTTTCTGTCGCCAGAATACTTCAAGCCAATAGAAGAAATTGTGTTATGCAGACCTTTATTTATAAATTTTAGAATGTTTTCATCTGCTCTACAATGCCATTTTGAAATTCCTACATTGAAATAAATTTTTGGAATGTTAATCACAGCAGACTATTCTAAATTTTTAGATTTTTAAATAATTTTATTAGTTTCATTCTGAAGCTACAATTTGTTTTATCTGTTTTTTTGTAGTGAAAAAGGTGATGCAGCAGGAGATTTGGATGATGTGAGTATTAATTTTAGTATAAATATAGTTTGAATAATTTACAGAAAGTTCAAAATTTTTACAAAAAATTTAATTATTTTTTCTTAAGAAGTAATGTATATTACTTTTGTAATTATATATAAAATTTTGAAAAATTTTGAAAAATATAAATTATTTATTGGTATATTTGCTTCCAAGTGTATATTTCCTCCCGTGTGTATTAAGTGTGTGTATGTATCTTTCCTTACAAAATTGGAATCATATATTAATTTATAGCCTGCTTTTTCTTCCTTCACATAACATTCATGAATACTCATAATCATGATTTTATAATTTTATTATGTTAAAAATTTAAATGTTAATGGGTGGGCATCTTACACAATATATGGGAAATAATCAGTCATTTATAGTAGTATTCCTTTTTTATATACATGTTTCATAAGATTCTCATTCAAGACTGTAGTGATCTTTATTAGTTGTACTGGCTAATAAAACTAATAAAACAGAAGGAAGATTTTCTTTTAATATTTAAGAGACCAAGTTTTACAAATTATCCACATGCCACTTTATGTAAAAACCCATATCTGTGCATTATATAATTCAGTAAGAAGTACATAACTTTCCATGCATGAACACAGATTCATCTATTGCCACAGTCAAAAGAGAGGGTTCTCTCTGACAATCTATGGTATGGAGAGGATGAATATCTAACCTTGTGAAGTAAACCTTCCCGGAAAAGACAATGCTGTGTTATGTCTGTAGGAGAATTAGGAGTTAATTAGGTCAAAAAAAGAAAGTGGTGAACATTGGGGTCTCTCTAGTTCAGGGAACAGTATATGCTAAAGTATGGAAATACGGAGAGATTATACCTCATTTAGGAAAAACAAACTGAGATTTAAAGTTTGGAGCAGGCTGCCTTGTGAAGAGCAGAGAGGAAGAGTGTTGAAAGTAAAGGGAACTGCATGAGCAAAAGGCTGTGAAGCAGGAGAGTTTGTGTTCTAGGAGCTGAAAGCAGGCCAGTGTGACAAGAGTGTAGTGACAGGAGGGAGAGTGGGATAAGCTTGGAGAGGTAGGCAGATGGGCATTACAGAGTGTCATAGGCCATGGTAAGGAGTAATTTCATCCTAAGAGTAATGAGGAACAGTTGAAGGGTACTTGTTAAAAAGAAGGGTGCTCTAGTCAACTTTGCATTTTAGGAAGATCACCATTGGTGATATTATAGACAACAATTTAGAGGAATAGAGAGCTGTTGGGAGGCTATTACAGGAAGAGAGCTTGAAGTAAGACCACAGCTGTGAGATAGAAAAGAGATTGATTTGAGAAAGGTCTAGGAGGTAACTGATTCCATACTATGAGGTGAGCAAGGAGGAGTCTAGGACAACCACAAGATTTCCAGTTTGGGTAGCTTGTTAGAGGGATATAAAATAAAGAATAGGCTTGAGGTGAGGGGAAAGATGAAAAATGAGGTTAATTTTGTACATTTTGAGATGGGGTAACTTGGAGACATCTTTGTAACGATAATATAGGTCTAGAAGATAGGATCAATGCATAGGATAAGATGTAAAAATATAGATTTGCTCTTAGGTCATGGGTGGGATGAGGTCATCTAAGGATAGTATATGGTTTCTATCCTGTTTTGTGTCCCAGATCCTTGGAAATGACTAAAACTGTGGATCCTTTCCCAGGAAAATGTGCTACATCCACAAAACAAAATTGTATGAATTTGCAGGGGATTTTTTTTAGATTTCCTGAGGCCCAGGCATGGAAGGACTTGGTTTGTGGTTATCAACTTCTAGTGCTTAAGAATTACCTAAATATCTTGCTGAAAACATTCACAGTCTCTATCCCCAGAGATTTTTGGTTCACTAAGTCTTGTGATGAGGGCTAGGGATTTTATATTTTTAAGAAACAACCATGTAATGTGTAGTCTGAGAAACAGACTTGGAGGACTACTGCTTTAGGGGTCCACAAGCCTCAAGTTAAGGATCCTGCCTCACCATGACTCACCAAATCAACAAATCACAAGAGAAAAATGATCCACTTGGGGTAGTTTCTTTCTTCTCGTTCTCTCCCCACTCCCTTCCTTTCACTCTTCCTTTTAGAAGTTTAAGATACAGCAGTAAGCAAAACAGGCCAGAATTTTAGCCCTCATGGAGTGTTTGCTCTAATTGGATGAGAGCTAGTTAACACATAAGTAATTAAAATGTATAGTATGTTTTATAGTATAGTATATGGATGATAAATGCTTTGGAAATAAACAGAGGAAAGGGAATATAGTATAGGATATGTTTATTAGTCTGTTTTGTGTTGCTATAACACAATATCTGAAACTGGGTGATTTATAAAGAAAAACATTTATTGCTTACAGTTTCTGAGGCTGGGAAGTCCAAAGTACATCTGGTGGTGGCAACAGTGACCCAGGGGTCTCACATTGCAAGATGGTGGAAGCAGAGAGAGCAGAGAGAGCAAGAGAGAGAAAGACAGACTCTCCTCTTCTTTTAAAGCCCTCAGAACCATGCCCCTGACCACCATTTTTAATCCATTCACCACTGTGCAGTCCTATAGGCCAATCACCTCTTCAAGGCCCCACCTTTCAATTACCATGATAGGATTTCCCACCCTCTTAACAGTAGCAGTGGGGGCTAAGTTTCCAATTCATAAAACTTGTGAGGCACAATTCAAGCTTCAGGGAGTTTTGGGGGGACACAATTCAATCCACTACAATATGGATGATAAATGCTTTGAAAATAAACCAGGGAAGGGGAATAGAGAGTACTGGAGGTGGGTGGGTGGATCTTCCATTTTTCATAGGATGATCAAGAAAAGCATCATTGAGAAGGCAACATTTGAGCAAAAATCTGAAGGAGATGAAATACAGATATCTGGAATAGGAGTGTTGGACAGAACAACAGTTCCAAAGTTGTCTCCTGCTGCTGAGCTAGAGTTGTAGGAGACTATGTCAGGGAAGAATAGGTTGTATAAGGCCTTTAGTGAGTTGAGGATCCACTGGAGGGTTTTCAGAAGAGGAATGATTGCTGTGACTTAGATTATAGGAATAAATTCCAGCTTTTCTACTACACCTCTTCTGCTTGAATTAATCTCAGGTTGAGGTCAGTATGTTGGCCAACTGCAATCTAAGCCACATTTCACACTGGGATTAGAATAGGAATGTAGATAGGCACAGTATCCTGGGTAATGCAGAGGGAGCAGTCTGGGCTGTACAGAGTTGCTGAATATGAATTGAGCAAACAGCCCTTCCTGGTGTATCCCCTGCTTACATAGTTGGCCTAGAGCAGACCCTAGGGTATTCCCACCTGGATCAGATTCCTCAAGCCCTTACTAATTAAAAACAAAACAAAACAAAACAAAAAATGAACCTGGAGCATCTAAGATGGATCTCTGGAAGTGAAAGGGGAAATTGAATGCCTGGCAAATACTCAGTTTCGATTTCTACAGGATGGAGAAGATGCAAGTGCACAGCAAGATGAGTATATTGATGGTGATGAAAAGAACCTGATGAGAGATAGAATTGCAAAAAAGTTAAAAAAGGATACAAGTGCAAATGTTAAATCAGCTGGAGAGGGAGAAGTAGAGAAGAAATCAGTAAGCCGCAGGTGAGTCAGTTATTATGCTTCTATGTATCAGAGTCTTTGTCTTTTTATACTTCATTTAAATTAAAATTGATTCCTCCATTCAACTAATTTTTTTAAGTACTATTTTCATAATGCTTGATAAATATAACAGTTGTGCAGATTGGCCCATTTGGGGGCATAAAATAAAATAAACCAGGCTTAAAGTAAATATAGCAAATGACCCTATGAGTCAAATCCCACTTCATTTCTCTCTGATCTCTTTTTAGAAAGACTCTGTAAGTTATATATATATAGGATAAGCAATGTATTAGCTAGATTCAGAAGCTTGTGTTTGTTTAATACCAATGAGAGCAGTAGAGTAATTGTACGGAAAGAAAAGAGACATCCTGAAATAATTTAGGTGAGTAAAATTTGTCAAAACTGGTAAAGAAAGTGTGTGGACCTGAAAAGCTAGATGCAGAAGCTTGTGTTTGTTTAATACCAATGAGAACAGTAGAGTGATCGCACGGAAAGAAAAGAGACATCCCGAAATAATTTATGTGAGTAAAATTTGTCAAAACTGGTAAAGAAAGTGTGTGGGCCTGAAAACATTCTTAAGTATCTTTTCAAGTCTGATTTAGCAAATACTGTATACCCCTCCTAATCTCAGTGGTATTATAAAAGAAATTGCAGCAAATGATGAAGTTTACTTTGTTGATAAAAGTTTGTTGGATTTTGGGACTCAACACTTTCTTTTCCTGAAATTCAACTTAATTGAAAAACTCCTTTCCTTTGTGATTATATTATTATAACTCTATGATGTACATTAAAAATAATGTTGCTTTGGGCTGAGCCTGTGACGCACTCTGGAGAGTGCGGCGCTGGGAGCGCAGCGGCGCTCCCGCCGCGGGTTCGGATCCTATATAGGGATGACCAGTGCAGTCACAGCGCTCACTGGCTGAGCGCAGTGCGGCCGGTCTCAAAAAAAAGGACATAAATAAATAAATAAATAAATACTGTTGCTTTAAAAAAATAATAGTATTTGTTTTCTTCAGATGGTTTACATTTGGGGAATAAGAGATGTAACTACCTATAAATAATATTCTTTTTTTCTATCATGTTTCTCAACCTCATATAGAAAAACTTAAAAATAAAAAGAATTTCCATGCTTTCATTGCAGCTCCCTCAATTTTTTTCCTTTATTTAACCAGAAATAAAAGTGTTTCCCAGGGCCGGCCCAGTGGCGCACTGGAGAGTGCGCAGCTTGGGAGCGCAGCGCTCCCGCCGAGGCTTCGGATCCCATGTGGAGACCAGTTCCCGCTCACTGGCTGAGCGCGGTGCGGGCGCAACACCAAGGGTTGCGATCCCTTTACCGGTCAGTAAAAAAGACAAAAAGGAAAAAAAAAAGTGTTTCCCAGAAATTTCCATTGAAATTATAACTTTTTGCATTCAGAAATGGTACTTAGAAGTTATCTTAAATACCTTTTTTTTCCAGCAACATTCTCTTGAGTAACATTCACTCAAGTAATCACTGTTGAATAATTTAATATAGTAGATTAACTTTGGGCCCATATTGACTGAAAATTTTAGTGATCATATACTTTCCTCTATATATATGGAGTTGAAGAACCTCTCATTAGCTCTGTAGTTTTTAGTCAAATCATGAATATAAACAAGGATACATAATGATTTTTTTCCTCTTGTATGCATTTTTTTATTTTTAAAAATTATGAATTTTTAAAGATTAATTTTATAATGTGACAAAAATATATTTAAAATTTTTGATAGATTAACCAAATATTTATTTACATTATATTTAAGTATTCCCTAAGCTCTTAACTATCTCATTAGCTTTAACATAATTACAAATACTTGTATATCCTATAATTAATATAAATTATAATTTAAGAAAGCTGCATTATCTGTAAGAACTAAATAAAGCTTATTTTTAATGTAACTTTCATAAGTGTCTTTAAAAAATTGGTAACCTAGTATAAAAAGTTAACCAGCTTGCATTTTCCAAAAATATGATCATCCTTAAAACAAATGGTTATCCTTAAAAGATTCCTTTGATCATGGAATGTGCCTGATGAGCAAACATGGTATTGATGACGAGATTTAGAAGTATGATCTTTATCATGAGAAGAATGGGGAGCCATTGAAACATTTTTAGAGGTGAATGATTCATTGAGGTTGTGTTTAGTGTGGAGAATGGATTGATGGAGGAGCATCTTGGGTTGCTATAACAAAATACCATAGACTGGGTGGCTTAAACAGTGGTCATTCATTTCTCACAGATGTGGAAGCTGGGAAGTCCAAGATCAAAGCTCTGGCCAATTTGGTTCCTGGTGTGGGCCCTGTTCCTGGCTTATACACAGGTCTTTCTTTTCTCATAAGGACACTAATTCCATCATGGGGCCCTCACCCATATGACCTCATCTAAAACTAATTACCGAAAGCCTCACCTCCACGTAACGTCATATTGATGGTTAGGGCTTCAACATAAATTTGGGGGACACAAACATTCAGTCAATTAGAAGGGGAAAGGCTGAAGCAGACAAATTGGGAAGCTTTTTTAGTAAATCGATGTGAGAGATGGTGGTTAACTGAACCAGGGTACTATAGGTTCTGGTGACCTGAACAGGTTATTGTAAATATTTCAAGTGAATATCATGTTTAAATTATAAGAGATATTTGGGCCGAGCCCATGGCGCACTCGAGAGAGTGCGGCGCTGGGAGCGCAGCAGTGCTCCCGCCGCGGGTTCGTATCCTATATAGGGATGACCAGTGCGCTCACAGCGCTTACTGGCTGAGCACGGTGCGGCTGGTCTCAAAAAAGACAAAAAAAAACAATTATAAGAGATATTCTTGATCTTATCATTTGAAGCTTAGTTTTTGTGATAATTTCTTACATAAGAACATGTATGCCCATTCATGTTTGTAATTTTTTTCCTTTTTACAAATAAGTCTAAGTTGCAAAATTAAAGCTACATAACCTTAAATTTGTGAGCATTTTGTATATTCACTGTAGAGGAAAAAGCTGTATTCACATGCTTTGCAAGTCTACTAGGAAAAGTAAATTAAGTAAAATTAAATCTACAAAGGTGGCTTACAAATTTTGGGTAAATATATGAGTATTGTCGACATTATTGAATTCTTTTACATAAAATAATTGGCAAAATGTGCCTTTATAAATGGTGCAAATAGCAAATATTTATTTATAACTGCCCCTCTGTTCCCCCAAATTTTCAGTATTCACATCCTCCTTTCTCCCTTCTTTATCCTATCTTTCCTACCTACAAAGAGAAGCAAAAGAAAATTAAGGGGGTAAGAAGAGAGGAGAAGCTACAGAATATCAAAGGGAAAATATAGTTTTTCTCTATACTCTAAAAATTTCCGTGATTGTCTCATGACCATATTTTTGAGTTCATAAAATTTCCAAATTCATTAGTACTTTTGGTCAGTTATACCACATTCACTATAGTATAAGTCTCTGGAGTTAATGGTTTAAAATACAACAACAAAAACTAGGACACCTCTAATAATCTTAAAAAATTGTAATGTTGTAAAAAAGGATAATTATATTGAAAGGAAAGCCACTGACTCAGTTTAAAGTTGAGTTATAATGGGTATAGCTGCCAGCCAGATAGGATGTCAATGTGAAATCATTATCTGTTCAAAAATCAATGCTCTTGATATATACAAACTTTTCATCTAGATGTGCTTGAAGTACTCTATTATCCTTTGGTCCTTTTCCAGTTTGAGCAATAGAATCAGAGACTAGCCTAGCCTACCAGCACTTCAGGCAAGGAGCCATTCAAAGTATAATTTTACTGAAAATCTGTGGTATTGTTCATATTGGTAAGGAAACATCTGGAATCTGTTAAAGGTGTTCATCAATTCGAATATTAAACCTGCAAGTGGTTTTATTGAGTACTTAATATTTAAGCTGGGGAACGGTTTTTTAACAATGTAAGTTTTAACAAATTTACATATGGTAGAATCTCTAATAATGTCTTCTCAACAATGTCTCTAGCTGTACCTTTGAAAATCACTTAGGGGTTCAAGGAAAATAATTCAAAACTCTTCCTACCTTCTCTCCTTATAGAATAGGTACCCTTATACCTATTTTGACTTCTTTATGACTTCTAGTCCCTTGCCTCCTCCCTTTTCTAAATACTGTATATCGATCCCACTCTCTTTCTTATCCAGCCAACCTTCTCTCTATGCCTGTATCTCGACTGCTGGATGTTGCTCAGCAGAATCACACAGGCATGTACAAGTTAGTATATAGTAATACCATAATAGGATTTCTAATTTCCTGCCTCAGCTGTGCTTCCAATGCTTCCTTATTACTCACTCCCCACAGTGTTTACTTCAAACCTCAAATTTACTCACTCTCAACAGATTACCTGGCTTCCTCTTTACAAAAGAAGAGTAACTTCTTCAACTCTTATTCTTTTCTCTTTGCCTCCTTACCCTTCACCAATTCTTACCTTCTTTTACCCGGTTTTAAATGGAGAGGAATCCCTCTACCCATTCGAAATGATCCTACCCTCTCTTTCCTTTTTTTTTTTTTTTAAAAGATGACCGGTAAGGGGATCTTAACCCTTGACTTGGTGTTGTCAGCACCACGCTCAGGCAGTGAGCGAACCGGCCATCCCTATATGGGATCCGAACCCGTGGCCTTGGTGTTATCAGCACCGCACTCTACCGAGTGAGCCACAGGCCGGCCCTCTTTCCTTTGCCTTCAGTTTTCTCTCTTCACTGGATCTTTTCCTCTGCTTGTGAATAGGCTTAAGCCTTGCCCAGCATTCAAGAGAAAAACAAACAAAACCCATTCCATTTTATTCCCTGTTCCCACCTCCTTACTTCCCATTTGTTTCTTAATACACATCATCTGGCTTTTCCTCCACCATTCCACTGACGCTACTCTCACTAAGGTCATCTAATTGACAAACCTAATGGCTACTTTCCAGTTTTTGTTTTTTTGGTTTCTGCTGTGGAAATTTTATCACTTCCCTCTTGAAATTCAACTCTCT